GGGCCGTGCCGGAAGCAAACTATTCTTCAGTCCAACCTTGTGCAGGCTGACCCCAGACCAAGGCCATGTCGATTCGATGGCCAGGCGCAAAGTGCAGCTGATGCTCTCTGACTCACTAACATGGAAGTGGAAAACCACCTGTTCGTAAAGGAAAGTAATCTTCCAAGGGACCATGTTCCACTGCCATGTTAGTGAGTCGTCGTAGTGTAGAAAGTTTCACTTAATTATGGCAAGCCTCTACACTGAGACTCTACACATTGGATCATAATGGCATGCAAATGGAAACCACAGGGTTTAAGCTTCTATGCTTTGGGCCGGGGTCGCCACACTAGAAAAGGCAAAGCGAAGACCATATCAGCGGGTGAGACCATCTCAGCATGAGGAAGGTATCCCTGAAACAGGGCCGTGCAAAAATCACCAGGTTCTTGTCAACGTCTTTGGGTGCCTTGTTTGTCAAGTCTGTCCCGATGCTTCTTGCGGATCTCCCCGGTGGATTCAAAGAGACCCCGGAGGACGTGCAGGTTGGAGGATGTGAGTCTCGTGCCAGTCCAGCGGATGTACCGGATGGTCGTGCCAGGTCCTGGGGGTTGCTGTTGCTCCAGAATCCCTTCTTGATTGAGGTTTGGCTCATGTCCAAAAGCATGGGACTTTCGTATAGGATGGACTATGATGGACTAGTCTAGATGGAATGGACTTGTGACTTGTGTATAAACGGACGTTTGGTGGCAGGCCTGCATTCATCAAACTTACATTTCTGGGGAAGCTCCGTCATGTTAAAGGGGTACATTGACATCAACTTGCATTCGAAAAGTCACACATGACGTGCTCTAGGCATGCTGGAAAGCGAATTGGTGATGACATGTGGGTATGACCTGCCCAAAATATACCGCCGAAACAATGCCACGCTCGGGTCATGGATGTTTCCCTCACTTGATCGATGGCTCTCGCCACACCGACACCGACACCAGACAGCTGAGGCAAATCTGCAGGAGATGCCAAAGTGGTCTTAGGTGGATTCTCTCAAGGCTGGCCTCGGAGATGCCTTGGCCGGTGGATTCTCATCAAACGGTGGATGCCAAGTGGTCAAAACGGTGGTCTGCAGGAGATGCCAGTGTTCTCAATCGTTTCCCCTCGGGTCCGAGGGGTGGGATCCGAGAGATATTCTCCAGTTCACCGAACCAGTGCCGATATTCACCTGTGCCTCGGGACTTGGGACTTCGGCCAATGTGTTTCATCTTCAAACGGAATGAATATGCATCGTCGATGCAGTGACACCCGGATTGGGCCACGTATCCAGGATGTGGTCTTGGACATGGGTACACGTGGCATCCGATGTCCAATCCATATCCGTTTGAGGTTCATGTGTGGCTGATCAGCGTACTGAAGACCGGTAGGAGTCCTTCATATTCCTTCCCACAGGCCAAGCGACCAACATCTGTGATTTGTACATATATAGTTGTACTATGAAAACAACCATTTGTTGATTTGAGCTTATTTGAGCTCGGGACTTCTTCGCCCTGGACAATGATTGTTTGCAAGACCAAAACGTCACAGAGAACATAACAACTTCAAAAAATCAGACATCTACAGCGTCACATGTTCGATCATGTACGGACATGCTCAGTGACATGCTCCACATGTCATCGAAACTCACTCACGAAGCGAGCTTGGACATCCAAAATCAGCAAAACAAAAATCCCCCAATGGCTGCCTCAAAAACCATGAAAAAACCCTCTCCTTCTCCATCTATGTTGGGTCACCCACGGTCGATCCGCTCCCGGCTCCTCCCGGCGCCTCCCGGCTCCAGGGGCAGCGGTGGCGCTGGCCGCAGCCTCCAAGGTGCCGAAGCTGGCGGGGCTCGTCCTGATGTCGCCGCCAGGACCGCCCAGCGGTTGGTTTGGGGGGTTGTTCAGCGAGTAGCTGTAGGCAGAGTGTAGCTGTAGGCAGTGTTTGAATATGTGCATGAGTGAGTTGTTAATCCATCCCATGGCCCATGGCCCATATCCATATGATGCATCCATATCTACTTACCATCACCCGATATCAAGTCGTAGTTTTGCTCAGATGGACTCATCCAGGCTTTGCAGCCAAGCTGGCACCTGCTCAAGCGCCGCCCTGCTTGGTGACCAGTGGCAGCGAGGACCCCATTGCGCCCAGGTGCGCGGGGGAAGAAGGGCATGGTGACCGGCGTGGTTGTGACTCCAGAGTTGGACGTTTCGATGGTCTCCCTGAAAAAAAGGTGGAGATTTGAAGAGGTCCAAAGCGGAAATCCAGTCAGGCACCAGTCAGAGTGCCTAGTATCAGAAACAATGGGCCCCCGTCTTCCGGTTTACACTTCCCTTGCTGCCCTAGGGTACCCCCAATGCAACACAACACTCTTGGTGCACAGCAAAAGCAGTGCAGGCAAAAATTGGTTTTGAGCATATCTACGACATTCGCTTGGTGGGTTGTAGTGGGCCCATGTTAACGTTCGCTGGAATTGGAAATTGGGTTACTGTATGATCACTTCTGTATCAACAAGAAAGCAAATGGAGTCAAGTTGAAAGCTTCCAGATCCTTTTACACGTCAACTCGATGACGTTACTGCAAAGGGCGCTGATGAATTTTAGCTGTGTTGTCATCGGAAATATATTGATCTCAATGGTAAAAAGCTAAGCTAATTCAATTTAGATCAAGAACAGGAACTGATTCAACAAATCCGGGGCTTTTGGTCACCTTGACTTTGACGGGATCTGGGTGTCCCTTGCAAGCACTGGGGCGTGCCTGGGGCGTGCCTGGGAGTCATGGTGCCAGGGACCAAGTGGAAGGAGTGCATCAGGCGGGTGGGCAGGGCACGGAAAGGAGCTTGACCAAACAGTCGGCTATTGCATGTGCAATTTTCTCTCTTACTCTTGCACCGAATGCAATGTTTTTTTCGGTTCATTGTTTGATCTTTATGGTTTTTGAATGTTTTCGGTGTCGGTACTATACAGCCAATAGCATCGCACAAACACTTTTTGAAGTCGGGACCCCCAAAACTGCTGACTCAGCAGCGTATCATTTACAGTGGTTTTAGAGGTTCCCATCGGCCACGCTTTTCCCTCATGATGTCCTAGACAGATGGGGGGTCAGTATGGGGGTCCATCTCAAGCACCGTGACTTGGGGTCGCCATCGAACCTCTCCAGGCCTTGGGCCCGAGCTCCGATCTGCTGGCCTTCGAGGGCAGCCACGAGGCCCGTGGTTCGTATGGGGGAGTGGCACTTGCACTGCTGGAAGTTTGTTTCAGAATCTCACACCAACCCCAAAGAGCTCAAAAGTATTAATGACCGAGATCAAGTGTTCTTCTTTATTCTTCTCACATATTCGTTCTCAACTTCCGTTTGTGACAGGAGTGCGCTTCAACATGCTTCAACTGGGGGTCAAGAGGGTCAAATGAACTGTGCGACTTCGATCCTCTAAGAGGTCCTCACCCGTGTGTGTGAGTGTGTGTGTGTGTGTTTTACGTGTTGAAGGTGGGTTGGTCATGAAACTTGGGGATTTGGGAAACCTGTGGGAACCTATAAAAACCTTTGATTTTCTTAGAGTTCGGGGCCACCAAGGGTTTTGTTTGAAGGGACTGGAAGTCCAAGACCTACTTGGGGGCAGGGGTGCATGAGCTTTGCAGCCTCGTTCTGCACAGTTTGCTTGCACAGTGCTGTTTGACAAGTGGAATGAGGGGTGAGCAGAATCCTTGAATGAGACCCAGTTATGTCCGAATTGGAAGTCTTAGAGTGTTTCCTTTGTCAGGTTACTGCCGGTATGTCAAGACCTCACACAAGTTTTGGCCTCACAAGTTGCTTCATACCTGGACATTTATCACACCGTGAAAAATGTGTAGCAGGTCATTTGCATATTGCCCCTCTGGAACCGGAGAGGAAAAAACCTGTGTTTTTTGGCAGATCTTATGCGCGTCAAGGGGACGGAGACTCCTTGTCCACTATACTTGGGGTCACACATTTGTAGACTTCCAAATGTCCAAAGCCTGAATGGTGAAAGGAAGAAATGATCCATGTGCAACCCTGGGCCCCCCAAAAGGGGCTCATTTGGGCCTTTTGGACCTGCACATCACTGCAGTCGCCTCAGGTTGTCAGGCACTGCACGCCTCAGGTGACGATGACGGTGGTTGAGGGTGTCAAAGCATTTTTGGCCAAGCTGGGCCGATGACTCGCATGGCGTGCTGCTTTGGCGGACCCAAAAAGCCTCGTGAGAAGGGATGTCCGGGCGTTTACGGGCGTTTCTATCAAAGGGACGACCCGGACAGACATGATCTGGATGGCAATCCCAGACCATGCATGTATGGAAGAGTTACCTACATTATAGAGCCATTTTCGTGGGGTAAATACCAACTATTTCAGTCCCATGGATGGACATGTTGCCGTTCCACGTTGGGAAAGCTGCCGGTTCCACTGTAAACGCGCCGGGTCTCCACCTCGGAACCGTGCAAGCTGTGATGTCCTCGTGCTCCTCGTTGCATGAACTGTTCGGTAAAGCCAGCCAGTGGTAGAACTTTTTCGTGTTACCCAAATCGCCCAGGCAAAAAGGATTTCGAGGGGAACGATCATGCAGGGAAAAACCGACGGAAAAAACACATGAACAACCCATTCAATCCGTTCAACCGGATCCCGATGGCTTACTTTGGGGTACTCATCCGTCTCCGGCTCCAGCGGGACATTGAATCCTTTTGGCTCTTTTTTGCGGACTCTCCTGCCCTCGAGCTGGAGGAACTCCGCACCCAACAGTTTGATAGTTGATATCCTTGATTCATCAACCATCTATTGCAAGGAAGAATCCGGATGACCAGTTGTTAGACGACTTTCACCAAGTTGTTCATCGCCCCGAAGGGAGTGCTTGGACTCAACCTTCCTGATATGAAACTGCTGCTAGATCAGGGACCTCTGACTACCCTATTGGTCCTTCCGTGGTACTGAAAAAGGTCGGTGACTGAGAAGACAATCCGACACGAAGCGGGACTGCTCCGCAGTTCTGGCGGACATCGAAGAAGGATGGTGACTTGCTTTGCATAGGAAGGGGAAGGAGCAGACGGGACATCTTCGACAGAAGAGCTGTTGCCACAGGAGAGAAACATGCTTGAAGAAGGTGTTTTTGGGGTGTATACAGGAAAATGCACCATTATTGGTGGTTGTGACCTCATACTGTACCTTTTGTGAGGTTTGAGCAGCGCCGCGCTTCAGATTCATCAGATGGTGACTAAGGACATTGGATATGTTCTTTCAACTTTGAGCCCACTTCAATGCCTGCTTTCATGCCAGAGGTTCACTTGGGGCCTGGAAGAGGCACGTTCGGTCCACCCTTAAAGGAGTGACATTGGTGTATTCACACCATTTCACACCACAAATTCCTTTGGCATTGGAAAACACAACCAAAAAGTATCACACCACCTTCCATGTCACCCTGCGGCCAGACCCATGGCTGGCCTCATCCCCGATATCCAAGATAGACCAGTTCACACAATGACACAGTTTGCCCTTCACCCTTCACCCTCACCCTTCACCCACGGATGTTATTTTTGAATTTCAATCATCCCCAGGCACAAACAGCAAACCCTTCTTCGCCCCGCCCAAAAGATCCTTTTTCGTCCCATCATGTTCTTCGGAGCCGAAGGTATGCTCCGGACGATGCCAAACATTGCTTCTTCCACACACGTGGGCACCTGGGACCGCAGGTCAGGCGGTGAACACTAGGTCCGTGGGTCTTTTTCGATGTGATTGATCTCCCACGGTAGACCCTTTTGGTGGAGGTAGGTGTGGGATGGTGTGGGAGTATGATGGAATATGTGGGTGTCATGGCGCAGTGTTGGCGTGATATGATGGAACAGGACTGATTCAATTGTGACAGGGTCATATTCCTAAATATATCCTGCTAATGCCTGGTGCATTATTACCCTCTACGTTGAGAAGGTGATCGAATCTGATAGAGCAAGCAAGTGCTTGAGGCTGCCAATCCCTGCGACTCTTTGAGGACCACCACATCGTTCAAACCTTGTATCTTGAAATGATCTCTCCATATCTTGAAATGATCGGTGGTCCTCATCGTATCTTGAAATGAGATATCTTGAAATGATCTCTCCATATCTCTCCCTCATCGAGTGGTCAATGTCTCAAGTGACCGAGGGACTTCAGTCAAGCGGCCATTTCTGGGGTCCTGGAGCCGGCAAGCTGGCTGGAAGATTCCGTTGATTTAAACACGTAGTATTTATTCCCTGGCAGTCCACTGGGATTAATATGGATTATGACATTAAGACATATTAAAACATAGAAAATCAATGTAAATCAAGGTTCTTTAGGTGATAAGAACCTTAAGAAGATACATGTCCTTTACTTCGGTGGTGCTAAATATGGTCGTCTTTGGACTTCCAGGCCATTCTTCCTATACTTTACCTTTGCTAAGCCGTTGCCACAACTTTGGCGTCCAACACCGCCCGGACCCCCCCCGCTCCTCACCCCAAATCCCTCGGACCGGCCCTGATCGGCTGCGAGGTTTGAGATGTTCGAAGCAGCTCGGACCCATGGCATGGATCCTCAGTGGGAGTCGCACCAACCGTGTCCACCCACGGATGTGCGACCGACCATGTCCCACCATGGGGGGTCCGCCGATGGCCAATGGTCCACCGTGTCCGTCCCGTTGCGGAGGTTGGGAGCTGAACTCATGGGCTCCATCATGACCCCATGAATAGAATTAAAGAAGATCCATTTGGCAAAAGACCAAGTGCAGCCTTTTTGAGGTAGTGGAACCGTTCTGTTCTTTTCCCTCCTGATCACTCCAACTTTCCAAGATGTCACAGTGATGCACGAGGCTTGAAATTTCCTGTTTGCCACCGACCAGACCATGGCAAGACCGGTTTTGATGGTTTTTGAGGGTCACCCCTGCGACGCTGCCAGATTCTGAGTGCCATGGTCTCCTGGAAACGTTTTCATCCCTCCGATCTTTGCCTGGAATACGAGGTGGAAATGCAGACCTGGCCCGGATCTTCATGTCCTGCAACAAGGAGAGCCGAGAGCCGAACTCACACGTTGAAACTTGGTGACTATCCTGAGTCACAGAGTGGCTTCCCGAGCCATCTATTTTTAGATCGCAGGATGAGACAGCATTGGCCAAAACCTCGAGAATCAGAGGACGTGAGATATACAAAGAGCAGAGGAGTAGCTCGAGCGGTGGAACCTTACAAAGGTTCTACTTTATGTTCTATATGATACGTATTGATATGTGTTTCATTGGTTGCAGGTGGTTTTACGCGCTGCCTAGAATGCGTTCTTAGTATGTATGTCAATGTTGTCATTAGTATTTGTTTGGTGCTTAGTTCGACATTTTGCTGTCCCAACTCAACCCCTTTGCTTACAGGATCAGCGTTTAAATCATGCCCAAGATTTCCAAGATGGCAAAGAAGTGCCTTAAGAAGTTGAATCCGTTGATTCAACAAATCATAGAGTAAGGTAAGAGCACCGTGCGTTGATCTGCAGGAAGGAAAAGAAGCGTTGCATTCGTGATTTTGCCCCGGCGCCAGTCGCACCATCAGTATGCTCTCATCCCATGGTTGATATACCCAATGATTCGTTGTGGCCACGCCGTGTTTGTTTCTTCTCCTTTGTTCCAACCTGCACCCCCCAAAAAATCCATTACACCATCGAAGTCGGTGAACGATCGCACATGACGTGGGACATCGCTCCGTGTCCATCACGTCGACGACGTCGTCGACGACTCGTTCTTCCTCGTTCGTCGACTCGATCACGTCGGCGACGTCGTCCAGGAGCCCTCGAAGATCATGCACATCGGCACCAATCCCTTGCCGGGCCTCCCGGGGTTTAATGATCAAATTAGAGTTGATGTAGATGCAATGCGAACCCCAAAAGGCCAGCAAATCCGAATCTGTGGTAAATCACCAAATCCAAGTGCCCAGGCATGATTCTGCCATTTGGATATCAAATACGATCGAAATACCTTCCTTGATGTAGAAACTTCAACCGACACAAACTGACCAAGCAGACCGATCCCACTTCAAAAACAATGCTAGATTGCTAATTCAACAAACCACTCGAAACTCTGTGGTTCGAGTTTCCAGGGCAAAGGCCAAAACGCAGCAAACATCAGGTGAACCACATGTGCAATACCCGCAGTCCCATTGCCTTCAAAGACATGGTTTGAGTCCTAACTCATCCACGCTTTGTTCCGGGATTCAAGCGGTGATCCCCACTGTTTACATCAGTGTCAGAAGATGTCAGAAGATGTCAGACATGTGACATGTGCGTTTATAGCTTGAACGTCTAGAACGTCCAGATGTGAATCTTGGAGTGTTTCCTTGAAACAAGGATCAGGTCCCCCCAAAAAAAGAACAAACAACAGTGCTGCGGTTCATTGAAAAGAGATCTTGGACCCTCTTCTCCTAAGACAAAGACCCCACAAGTCATGAGCGTGATTCACAGGCAAATAGCGAAATGCATGCAGCTCATGATAGCTCATGATAGCTTGATGGAGCCATCCAACCCTGAGAGTACCACCCACAGAACCAGCTGAGTTCTGAGGTCTGCTCGGAACGCACGCACCAAGATCTCCTATTGAGATGCTTTGCTTGAGCTCCGCACGGACAGGCGTCAGGTCCCATTGGCGGATGAACTAGGCTTCTTTGTGCATAATTATATATACTCGAGATTTGTAACATATATTTGAACCACTTCTGAAGACAGGCCATGGAAGGTGGAATTCCACCATGTTCCGCCTATCCACCTCAGCTGAGATGAGAGGACAACCATGTGAGGTGCCACATCCGTCATTCCGAATCGGCGCAAGACATCCGCTCTCCGACCATGAAAAGAAACAAAAGTCTTTTCGTTTCACATCCTTTGCTACTGAAACTTGAAAGTAGCAGAGCCAAGGAAAGGGCGCGGGTAACAGGAATGTGTGTTGGGACTGTTGTCGGACAACGGGTTTCTCCCAAAGCAACCGGACGTCCTTCCGAAGGTCCTCGTTGGCTTCTGAAATCTTGGAACTCGTTGGATAGTGCGGCATTATTCAAAGATCCCACAATCCCTCAAACCACAGGTGTTCAGTCACAAGCTCTTTGTGAAAATAACTTTTTGATGTCATTTGCTTTCACCAAGAAGTATATACCTATATACCTATGCGCACTCAAGACGACAGTTGTATGGGATTATGACTGTTTCCCCTTTGGATCTGATCTCCATCGGCCTACAGCCATCAACAGTCCTGCTTTGCCTGAAGGGCCCATTCGATCACGATAACTTGAACGGCCAGTCGATTTCCTTGTAAAGCCAGTCGTCAAGGTTTCAGCGCCTGCAGATGTTGAATCCACGCCGCAAATTCATCCGCTGAAATGCAAATCCCTTTGCCATCCTTTGCCAGATGGATGCTCTTTTTGTGAGGGGCTGTAAGGCCGTAGTAACAATGAACAGCGAATTCTTCTATGGGTGGTAGGGTGGGAACTGAGCTTTGCCATCATTTTTGGCTCAAGCTCTCATTTGGTACAGGTCGTGAGGTGGGCGATCCTGTGCAATGGAGGGGTTGGTTCCTGATCGTACCACGTTAGGTTAGACAGTTGGTGCTCCCTCCAGCAGGCTGCAGCATGAGGAGGGTATATAGATGAGGGGCTGACTCAAGCGGTGTGCAGACAACTTCATAAAACTAAGTTGACTGCACTACAGATCATTGCAGTCATTCCAATCGAAGTGTTTGAACAGGCACTAGCCAATGCCACTACGGCGCCTGTGGGCTTACTGCACGCAACAAATGCAGCTTGTACATGTGCAGGTGCCTGAAAAGCCAAGATGACAATAGTGATACGGGAAGAGTGCTGGAAAACACAAAGATTGGAGCCAGGCACTGTAGGGTACAACATGCTATTTTCATCCCGGGGTTTGCTATGGCACAGAGATCTTCTGCTTCATCTTTAGCTTACTGGGAAGAAGCTGAACTGCACTTGGCGTGGAAGCTGTTTGAAACACATTGGCGTACCTCTTTGTGCATGTGTTTGTATTTTGCCAACAAAAAGAAGGTCCAATTATTTGGAAGACTGGAAAAGTACCATCGGTGACTTCCTCCATTGATGTTTGATGTGTAGGGTGCGATGCGGTCAGATGCACACACGTACTGGTGAATGGTCAGAACCCGCTTGTTTTTTCGAGTGACAAACACAATCCACTCACCAGAGCGTGGGGGAGTTGACATGTGTTTGTGTCATATCTCATGCCTCCAAAAGCGTTGATTCCTCATTTCCAGCCACATCATCCGTTGCGATTGGAGGACCCAAATCCAGCACGTCCCACAATGTTCACCGGCCAGCATCGTTGTCGCCACGACCGAGGAGTTCTATGCCGATCGCCCCAAGAGCTATGATACCCTCTATGGATATGAGGCAACACCAGCTATGTTTGCAAACCAAGCGATTGTTTCCCTAAAGCAAGCAATCAGAAGATCACTTGGTCATGAGTTGGAAGAGATCAGAGAGCATGATTCATTTCTTCAGAACTTTGATTTTCTGACCTGGTGGTGGTGTGGTGGTGTGTTGTTTATCCACTCTGTCCTGCCAGCTCCCCCATCCCAGTTCTTGCAGGACTTACGCCCTCTCCTCATGGGTTTACTGCAGCTCCCACGAGCCCAGCGAGAAGCCTGTCGGGTGCTCCATGTAGGCGCGAGGTGGCGGCGCGAGAGTTGGCGTGGAGCACCTCGCTGGAGATCAACTGTGGCATCAGGTGACTGAAATGTCTCATCCTTTGACCCAGGAACCTCTCGAGCTTTCGACATGCCTTGACCCATTGGGTGACTGGATGGTGATGTTTGAGCCACAGGATCGGTAGATGAGCCAAAGCAACTTCGGTCTGGGGTTCCAAGCCCTAAGAGGAAGGTGTGGGGGTCTAAGGGTCATAGTCAAACTGTGACAGGTGCTTAGTGAGGAATGAGGGAATGGAGCTTAAGGAATCTCTATTTGGAGGTAATTCCCTCATTCCCTACGAGTCGCACCAGGCAGAACTTCTTGCTGATGCTCCTTGAAAGACAGAGTCGGCCCGTGGGGTCACCTCCACAGAGTTTGGACTTGCTGCAGATGGTTTCAGGTTTGGAGCGATATGGGTGCGGTGGGGAGGGCACCCTCAAGTGGCTTAAGGATCACCAGCAAGATTTTATGCAATTTTATGAACACGTTGAACACTTTAGGTGGTTTTGGCGTTCCAGGCTCATTTTAAGTGCATTCGTTTGAACCTCCATTGTGGGGAAGGTGGGGAAAGTAGTTTCTCGATTGCAGAGGCTGTGGCACCAGCAATGTCACAGAGGGTCTTTGGCGCGATGGCTTTCGCCACTTGGCCAAACGAGTCAACCGGTGAGCTGCACGTTTAGAACATATGATCAACTGACAAATTGTTTGACGATATGGCCCCGCCAAAAACACTGCTCAGCTGCTCTGTCAAAGGCTCCGTTAGGCTGCTCATAGGAAAGTGTTTGAGCTGCCGAAGCTTGAGAATGTTTGTTTCAATACATTCTTGGTAATTACTTCTTCTTCGTGCGGAGAAAACGACCCAATCACAGACACCAATTTGATGGTAAACACGCTTAACAAAAGGCCAAAACAATCCAAGCCATTGCACGCTTGTCTACACCTCATGATCTTATTCGATTTCACCTCAATCAACACCGCCCCAAGGTCAAATTCTCAACATTGACTTCAGCGAGGCAAGGGCCCGTCCCACTGGGAGAGGCTTTTACGGTATTCCTCGGTGTTCTTTGGTCGAATTTACTTCAGCCTCCGACGTGAGGGAGAGCTCAGCACGGTCGATTGATCGATTTACATATACCCTGGGAGTCAAAGGCTATAAAAGGATATAGAAAGAATGATCTTTGGGTGACCTGAAAAGGAACTTCCTTTGCTTCAGTCCGTCAAAATATGGTCTTTGGACTTTCAGATATATATAATACAATATTATATAGTGTATATACACCTGTAACACATGTAATTATACCCGATCCACGGATTTCAGATGATGTCGCCAACGAATCGGGACAAGTCTCTTGCTCGGTTTCTACTCAGTAGATTATCTTTATCGCAAGCGCGTTCCAGGTTGAATCTTAGATATACTTTTTCTAGCTTTTCAGCATTTGTCCCTTTCCAACCAGTCACCTTAACACTCCAAACACATCGGAGTTCCATTTGACCTCTCCTTTTGGGGTGCCGCCCCACGCCACCCCCCGTCCACGCTGCTAGGAAGTCGTGAAGCTCATGGCCGGGCGCTGGGACGAGCGAGCGGCGGGCAACTCGGCAGGCGCCGCGGAGGCAGCGGAGGAGGTCGAAATGGGCTCAACTTATACGACCCCGAACCCAATACCATCATCAATCATCATCATATATATATATACATATATGTTGTAATGTTCTTCAAGAAACATATAGAAGCATCGTAGGGAAACAATCATTAAGTAATTTGGCATGTCAACTCTCTCGAGGTCACTACAGAGACCCCTGGCTACACGGGTGCTGTTTCTTCGTATGCGCTTCTATGCTTCTGTGCGTAGAGGGCAGCATAGCCCCAAAGTCTACAAGATCTAGAACGCTGCCCAGAACGACCACGTGTGTGAAAGGTTCGTGGTAGGCCAAGACATGAACAAAGACACGCTTTAGAGGTGATCCAACCGATCAATATTGTGCAAAATATGACTGCTTTAGCACTACCTTCCAACTATTGACTTGTTTGAGCCTCTCAAGGAAATTATACAAGAGCGTGACATGGTTTTCTGGCCAAACAATGAAACTGACGCTCATTTTTCATGTGAAGGGCCTAAATTAGGGTCTTTTGTTTGAACCAAGGTGCTCCATCAGACCAGCGACCAACGTCAGGTGTTGCCTGGCAAAAGATGGACCTGACGGATCTGTCAGAGTGGGGGTCCCCGGACGGACGGAGATCACGAGAAGCTTCGGTGAATGGTTGAGTGGATATAGCTCACCAGCCTCACCAACCCTGGCCAAAAACGTTCATGATGCGTTCCATCCTACAAATCCGGGCCCTCAAATTGAAAGGGTTTTGAGGGAAGCCCCTGCTATGGAGGGTCCGACCCCTACTATGGAGGGTCTGAGGATTCTTAGGGCAGATGATATGAACGATTTGTTGGGTCCATAAGTCTCAGCTCCTGAGTTCCGCATGATCGTGGCGGAAGTCCTGAAAAATCTCCGGGCCATGGCTCCAGGATGGGCTCCTTATCGTTTCGATTTGGCCTTCGATTGGCCAAGCCAGGCTGATGAGGTAGCCATTTGCCGATGAGTCCCTCCACAGTGCTGCGAGGGGCAGGTTCTTTTCTGGGTGAAGCAACTACACGCGGCTTGTCGGAAGACGCATTGACATACATTGACTGTGGCGTGCTCATCCAGCACATGCAAAATGTAAGTTGGGCTTGGATCAAATCAGACTTCACATCCCTTACCCCAGTGAGACTCGTAGAAATTCCGTTCTCAGGCTATGTTCAGGGACCTTTGACTTGGTCCTGGAGAAGTTCACGCTGCTTCGTCAGCAGGAACTGTTCAGGAACTAATTACTCGACCTTAGACCTTGGGTTTCCATGCTTGGACCACAGGTGAAAGGTAGAAAAGCCATTGAAAGAACATCGAACACCATGGACATGTCAGGCAAAAGGAAGCCAAAGTCAGGTGCCATCCAAACACAGAAAACCTTGAAGACATCGTTCAAGGAACTGGTGGATCTCCACATGTTGGGCGCTTTCCTGAGCCAAGGCTGGATGCCATCCTTTGTGAGTCCAAGGAGATAAGTTCTGACGCAGTCGACTTGGTGCCGAGTTAGGTCCCATGGAATGTATACCAAGCCAAGCTGCCGCCACGCCTCTTGCAATGCACAAGTCGGCAAAAACCATTGATATATGAGACGAAGCACCAACAAAAGCACCCGAGGAAAACAAAAGAACGCAGCGCCGGCGTAAACGCAAAGCGCCAACACTGCATCGTGGGATCCAGGTACCCGAAAAAGTATGAAAAATTGCGCGGTTAGTAAAGATCGTCAGGATGATCAAGTTTAACTGCAAATCCATCATCAGTGACAAAGTCGCTCATGCGTCGACGCAAGAAGGGCAGCGACGAGACAGAACATCTAGAAAAGCAAAAACCCTACAAATATAAGCTTGGCTTGCCCCTCGATGAAAACGTTATGTTACGACCTGATCTTGCTCAGGAGACGCACCTTGGGATGTGCCTGGTGCTACCGGCTGCGCAACAACCGACTGAGTGACAACACCGAACTCGGAAAAAAGAACTACTGCCTCCAATTGCAAACTGTCGTCATCAATCAAGCAATTTGCTCACAATTTGAGGTGTCACAGGTTGCGCCGTAGCCGTGACAGTTCGAAGCTCTAGCTCCAAGGTCTTCCGCTGCCAAAAACAAAGATCACCTCTAGGCGCGTCGCGCTTCGTCGTCC